ATATGCGTCGTACAAGAATTGTCGAACGTGCTGTTTGATGGATAAAATTCTCCTCTAAAAGGTCCCTAACGTTTTCTTCATGTACCTCAGATATTCTCTATCCGACTGCGTCTGACAAGCTTATCGTACGACATGTATAATATACAAGCCTAGTAGGCCTTCTATGATAAAATATTAGTCGTAAGCCGTAGGCAAGTTGACCAATCGATACTCGATTATTTTTGAAAATAATTGACTGTGATTGGTTAATTTGTTTGCAGCTTATGACTAATGGTTTATTATAGAAGACCCATAATGATAACGATGCTATCGTTAGAAGTTACAGAGTCACCTTACTAATCGGAAAGTTCTAGTAACTATCGATCAATCGAGTGGCATCGCTGAGCTGCGATCCGATAGGACAGCGTAGGAGCGCGACACCATTCGCGCCGCAGTGCGCACTTTCTGCACTTCGCGTCGTTGATTGCACGGTTATCTTGGACATCGATCTTTTCGTGACGAGCAGCCTCACCTGACACATCGCGATCGACATAGCTCCGCGTTCTACGCATCTTTTGTCGGTCAAAAGTGAGCCTGGCGCAGATATAAGTAGCGGCAGTGCCGAAATAGCGATGTGCGACCGTCGGGATGTATCGTGAGTACATTATTAGAATGCAATCCCCTTGTTTTTCGATACAAACAGCCGGTGCTTGTCGTGGCGTCTATTGCACTTTTCATTAATATCGACTCGTTCAAGTAGTAATAGAATCGAACAATCGTCAGATTTATTAATGAGGAGTTAGAATCGCGATGATAATCCAAGGAAAAGAGAAAGACAAAACGACGCTAGAGATATCGCGACGTAGTATCTCGCGCGGTCGGTCCGTTAGCGAGAGTGAGAGAGACGTAGCTACTAGAGCGCGTCCTTGTCGAACCGCGACGTCGTTCACGTTTTGGCGCGTAATTTTGGCACTGCGTCGATGATTGCGCGGCCATCTTTGATGTCGATCTTTTCGCGACGAGCAGCCTATACTGACACATCGCGACGACATCGCTCCGCGTTTTACGCATCTTTTGTCTATCGAAAGTGAGTCTAGCGTGGAAATAAGTATCGGGAGTGCCGAAATAGCGATGTGCGATCGTCGGGATGTATCGTGAGTACGTTATTCAGAGAAAGTACTCTGTTTCATTTTCGACACCCACAGTCGGTGCTTGTAGCGGCGTCTATTGCACTTCGCATTAACATCGACTCTCTTGGGGATGCTGAAAACTTTACCGACAGAATACTGACATTTTTCTGCAAAGTTTACGTCGTATTATTTACACAGAATTACAAATGCTTTTACGCAATGATAGTACATGCAAAAATAAATAGGAGCATTGCTCAATATGTGACGAAAACGAAAAACAAAAATTTTAAATAAAAAATCTCAAGCTGTCAGTTAGCGTAATATTTGCCTAATCCAAAAGTTCCGCAGCTTGTACATACCGAAAGTGTGGATGCTCCAAATAGAAAAATTTTGAAGAATGTTGCTCTACCTTCGCATCTGCCTTTGGAAGCTTAAAGATATCGAAAAAGTTTGCAGAAAGATTTCTATATATTTATGGTTAGGTTTTCCGTTGAATATGGTAAAACAAAGCAACACACATTCATGAAAGTTCTGTATACAAGAAATACGAAAAGGATAGCGTGATTATGTTAGTAGCGATCGTCTCTGCATTATCGATATTGTCCGAGTTCCTCATCGATTCCAGCATCCCCTTAAATTGTCAACAACTCTGATTTTGTGAAATTTACGCAAACGTAGACTAGAAGTTTAATGTTTTGAACAAGCAATTTCGAATGACAAAACCACGTTCCATTTGATTTATCAAATGTTTAGACCTGTCAGACCGGAAAAACGTCCGAGTTCTATTTGATCTGTCAAACGTTTTTTCCAAAGATTTTCTAGTTTCCACTTTATGTTAGGATTGAAGGCAAAATGTATAAACTCTGTATATTTTGTAATATTGTAAGATGACCATTGTATCTTTTATTACAAGTATATAGATACTTACGTGAAAAATTTCGTAAGATCTAATTAAATAATTAGAGTCCAGTCTAATTAGGATTCAGTTCGATTTCCTAAAAAAATATTGTAGATCTTGGTTGGAAAATCTATGCAGGTTAGGTTTAGGTTCAGGTTAAAAGTTTAATGTTTCAGTTTGAGTGAGAAAACAATATTTCGTTTGATTTATCAAATGTCTAGACATGTCAAACGTCCAGATTCTATTTGATCTGTCAAACGACTAGATATTATTTAATCTGTCAAACGTTTCTCCAAAGATTTTTCTAGTTTCCATTTTATATTAGGATCTTGAACAAAACGGTCACACATTCTGAATATTTGTGCTTTAAACAATTATAAATACTTTGTAAAAGTAAATAATTAAATTAAATATTTTAATTTTAATTATATAATCAAATTATAATTAAAGCTTTTTGTATATTTTTTTATTTCCTTGTCTATTGAATTTAATAGTTAGTGTAAAAAAAGACTTTCCTATGCAACTCCATAAAAGTATAAGCCGATTTTATCTATAAAAAAGCGTAAGTTTTCACAATAATTCTGTTCTCATTGTAATCAGAGAACCCATGTTTAAGACAAAAATAGAATTCCTTAATCGATGTCGTAGCAGAATAATTTACCTTGGGAGAAATTTTGCACTTTAATTGGAAAGATTTTGAGCAATTTTTGTGCGGGTGGAATATTGTAGGAGAGATGTCATTGGCGTGGCAAGGCAATTACAATTCGATGCTGTTAACGAAAGAAAGTTTCGCACTCTAAGGATTCGAATATTTTTTTGACTGACTACTGCAATATCCACGAATTATCCCGCGTCCGTGCGAGAAAAATGGAGAACGAGGAAGTCGGAGGAATTATTTCCGACGTCGTTCGGGCATAATTTCTCCGCGGACGAAGTGGAAGGGAATGGCCGGACATTTCGTGCGAAATTAGCTTGTCTCGCTGAAACGAGCGGCTCGTCCCTAACATCCCGATTGCGGAAGGAGCGAGAGCAGCTAATCGACCGCCAAGTGGATTATAAATCCCGACGGTGGAGGGGCGCCGCGTCGCGTCGCGTCAGGTCGCGTTGTGCCCGTGGAACGAAGCGGGAAGGCGCGTTTGGCGTCTCGCCGAGAACGCCGAGAGGCTGCTTCGTTTCCCGAATCGGGCAACCCCTCTAATTATTAACCACCTTATCTGGCAAAGAGGGCGAGGGGAAGGAAAGGCTAGAGAAGCCCGGCGTGGGTTCTCGCGCGACACCGGCTATTCTCCGCGTAATTAAAAGTAACGACTCACAGCGGGGCACCCGGAGTGTGCGCGCGCACGACTGTTCCTGAGGAACAAGCCGCACTGTCCCGTGCGCGGTCTCTTCCGTTCCTGGCGTCTCGCGCCGCGCCACCGATTCTTCCAGCCGGCGCGGAACCCTCTCGCGCAAACTGGTTTCGGACGTAATTGGACGCGACTCCGGGCCTACGTTAAGACTACGCGCGAACGAGAAAGTCTGGCGGTCGGTATCGCCGCTAAATTTATTTCGCCGACCCTTCCTTCCTTCGTGGGCCTTCGGCAACGGGTATCCGGTGCGCGGTAGGAACGCGCGATAACTCCGCGCACTTAACGGCCCCCACGGGCTGATCTTGGAATTTCGCTGATTCGGTCGACGAACCTGGACGGCCTGGTCGCGCTCGCCGCGTTTCCTCGATCCGTACATGACCAAGACGTCGTGTTCTTACGCGGGATAGCCGCCGTTTTCATGGAAATTTCGAGACACTTCTCTCGTTCATGCATGTATTTGTAACCCTGCACTCGTGTAACTTATTGTTTGACAGCGCGCTCTTAGAGAACTGCGTCCAGGACGTGCAATAAATAATGCTTTCTCTCGCTTCTCTTCGAGGTGAAACTCTCACTTATCGTATTGCGAGCTCACGAGAAGTAACAAAGAGGGAGGGGGGAGAGAGAGAGAGATGAAACAAATATATTATCAGGGCTGTCAGACATACAATCGACACGAAACCAAAAAGCGAGAGCCGACGCAAGATATTCGTTGGACGGGGCTTAATAAATAAAATATCAATAATTAATAAATAGGGTATCAAATAAAACCCTCCGATTTTTCAATAGTAGTCTTAAATTTCAGTTTAAACTCTATTTAAATTCAATGTTGGGCATTAATCATTCAACATTTTCTCCGACTAAAGTGATCAGCAAATCAATTAGTAAAATTAATTAGTCGTCATATATAAATCACAAGAATTTCTTCGAGTGTGTGTGACGAAATTAATTATTAATTAAATTTTCACCAAATTTCCTAAATAACAAGAAATAAAAATTGTTTATTTTCTTTTCATAGAGCTCTGACAATTTTTTCAGAATTTTTTAATTAACTTTTTAGTATTGCATTTTCTTGCGTTTTCTTAAAGTACTAAAAAGTTTATAAAAAAATTTGAAAAAATTCTCAGACCTCTATTAGAAAAAAATAGATAATTTTTATCTCTTGCTATTTCTCTTAAAGTTGATAGAATTTGAGTAAAAATTATTGAAATCAATAATTTTATAGATATTTCCGTAAATATCTTAAAAAATAAAGGTCGTATAAAAATTTTTTTCAAACAAAAGTTGGTTTTTTCTTTACGTAGAATAAAACTCCGTAATAAAAAATATATTTCTATTTAAAAAAGCAAAGTTGAAAACTGATACGGCCATTAAATAGATCTTCTGAAACCTTACAACTTTTGTCTGAAAAATTTTCCTAAAAAATGCTTTTTTTGAAACATTCGACCGTTTCCACAATTTTGGCACATAAATATGTGCCTGTATATCATAAGAACTATAGCTATGAGAATTGAACAGATGGGCATGTAATAACAGGAACTTTTAATGCCATATCTATTTCACTTGAAATCATATAAACTTTCTCTTTAATTATAGATTAATTATAGATTATGTAGATATAGTAACTATAGTAATTTTCTCCATGAATAAATTTTATATAAATGTGTGTTGTTTCGTTTTACTACGCTAGGAGTAAACATTACTACGCATATACAGAAATCTTTCTGCAAACTTTTTGTATACTTTTTTGAGTTTCTATATTCAGTTGTAAAGATACAGAAATGTTCAATTTTCGTTAGCGGAATAAACACACGTGCGGTACAAACTGCAAAACTATTATATCAAATAAATATATACGCAAATTGACAGTTCAGAATATCAATTTTTAGAATGAGTGACCAAGCTCTCATAAGCTTTTAGCCCCATTTTGTCATTTTAGTCCCAGCTATTAGCTAATGCTGCTAGTTACAACGAAATTAATCGATAATTCAGTTAATCGGAGACTGATAAAGAGATTCACCATAAATTAATAAATATTATTAACTTTTATCCGTATTATTTTATCGATAAAGGCTTCCCATTTTTTGCAACATTTCCTATATGTTTCCTATAAGGGTATCTAACGATGCCACTTATTTCGATAGAATATATATCTTTTTAGGCCATTTTCTTCCAAATGGCGAGGCTTTGATATTTATATATTTTTAATCTATTCATAAATAGCTATAATTTTATAAAAAAATAATTGAAGAACGCTACAAAATGGGGCTAAACTTGGTCGTACACTTTCTTATCGTTTTCCTCATGTATTGAGTAATGCTTCAATTTATTATTGCACATATTTTCAGTGTGTAAAAGCACTTGTAATTTTGTGCAATCAATACGATGTAAATATTGCAAGAAGAGTCAATATTTTGTAACTATTATAAATTGTAAAGTTTTCAGATATGACATTTCCTTAATGTGACTTATTGTTTTGAGTAAATTTTGACCATTTTTTAAATATTTCTTTCGTATCTTTATTTCGTCATTTTATCTGATAAATATGATTGCAATCTGACCAGTCATAAGGGACTCAATTTTTGCTTGCAATCGCTGCAACGTTGTTGAATTTTGTTATTTTATATATTTAAAATTGCTATAAAGTTTACGCACATCAGTCCATCGAGGAACATAGATTTAAGTTTAAATCACTATTGAAAATTTGGCCCTTAAGAATGGTCCGTTTGATGCTCCATTTCTTATTTTATTGATTGATTGAATGAGAGCCACGCAATTTCCATCTTATTACGGCTCTATTGGTCCTTTTCTTCTCCTATAAAAAAAAGAAAAAAGAGAGGTCGCGAATTCGTTCGTTCCGCAATATGGATAGTATCGATGGCTCCGCGAAAGCGGCCCGCCGAGGAAGAGAGCGCGCGTTGGCAGATTCACTCACGGTCGATCGCGCTCGGAAGCAGACGTTAAGGGTTATACGGCTGCGGTCGGAAAAAGCGCGTTACCGTTACGCACGCCTCGGCATAGGCACGCCACGTTTCCGTTCGATTGCTCCGCTAATTGTCGGCGGAGGGCCGGCCGGCCGATGTTAGTGTTTACCTTAAAGCGGATAGATCCAATTACGGCGAGCTCGCTCGCTCGTTCTCCTGTGCTTCCACCCCTCCTCGCTTCCACCCCCGCCGCCATTGCCGCCGCCGCCGCCGCCGCCGCCGCCGCCGCAGCTTCCGTCCGCCGTGATCGCGGAGCCGGCGCACGAACGCGATCTCGCCACCATCGCCGCATCAATCTCCCGCTGTTTTTCCCGTCCTTTTTTTTCGCTTCCTTGCACACTTTTCGCTTAGCCATAGTTTTAGAAGGGATCCTCCGACAATCGGCCCGCCGCAGGAGGCTGCGCGCAACGGCCCGCGCTTCTTCTCCGATGAAAACTCCGGCGGAGTACAACAAACCCACACGCGAAACTTCCTACCACCCCCCCCCCCCCCCCCCCCCCCCCCCC